GCTGATAAAGTTTGTTTTGCTCACTGAATTGGTGTAGGTTCTACTGATAAAGCCTGCTCTTGCTGCTACAGACTGCATGTACGCTAGGTTTGCTGAGATTGCAAACCTGAAGCTCTTCTAGTGTAGATTAGACTCAAATTATGAAGAAGTCTGATTGCTATGTTAATGTAATGCCTGGAAGATCAAACCTCTGTGTCATCTTCACAGGTATCCTGGTTTTCCTAGATAAACATGTTTTATAACTCTCCTGATAGATTTCTGAGCTGTTGTTCAAACCCAGCCAGGAAGGTGCTTTCTAGCAACCTCCTCTGGTGCACCCAAATGTCTCTGTCCCCTGTGGTGCCAGACTTCATTCTGCCCTGTTTCCCTCATATGTTTCTTTAAAGACCAAAAGATACTTTAAAGAGCCTTTAAACAGGTCTCTTCCAGGAGGCTATGGAAAGCCATGAGTTTGTGGACAGGCTTTTCATTCGACTGGAGGTGCTTTCCAAAGAGGAGCTGGTTTCTCACTACTCCTCACCTCCATCGCAATGTCTCCCATTAAACCAGAGAAGCCAGGCTCCAGTGGTTTCATGGCAGTGTCCCCGCTGTGTCACTCCAGATGGGGCCAGCCCCAAGGCTTTGGGAGGGCAGGAAGCCTTTGGAGGTGACATGTGAGTGCGATTGCCACCATAGATGCCCTGAGGTGAAACCATGAGGCTGTTTCCCAGGCTAGAGCGTGGCCACCAGTGGGGACACCAGGTGGGGCCTGGGGCATGGCTGGGGCAAGGGGTGCATCTCCCATTCCCACCAGCATAGTCCATGACTTGAGCTGTTGCTTAGCCCAGTCCGGGAGTCAGGATTTGAAGTGCCTGAGAGCAGCCCCTCTCCATAGCACATCCTCTGCTGCTCCTGAAAAGGTTGGTATAACGCCATGGGTAGGAAGAATTTGTCCTCTTCCACCAGCCCTGGCTTGCCAAGGGACCGGGAGGCTCAGGTGCAGCGCAGGAGGCAGCTGGGAGTGTGCTGCGGCTTGGAGGAGGGTGGAGGAATGTGGAGGCCCTTTCCAAGTGCCTCGGCCCATCAAGAACTTGGCCTGAATTTTCTTCTCCCTCCTGCCTCTCCTATCTGAGCACTTCCCAGGGGCTGCGGACAGAGACAGACACTCCCAGCACCTGCCCTGATGCTCCTCAGAGAGCTTGCATGGATTATTTGCTGCTGCTTCAAATCAACAGTGCTAGGTGGGAATGAGAGGCAGGTCAGGGATGCCAGAAGGTGCTAAGCTCTGCTTGCCTGGAGGGCTCCAGGGAGGCAGGAGGTGTGGGATCTGGCTGGGTCTGGGACAAACCTGTGCCCTTTTGCCCCCCTGAGCATCCCTACTCAGTGCTCCATATGAGACGAGGCTCCACTTGCACTGGATGGTGGCCGGACGCTGCCGGGCCAGGGAAGCAGGAGGGTGCTTTGGTCAGGGCATCACCAGGGGTGCTGTGGGCGGTGCGTGGGAGTGCCCCATGGGCAAGGGCTGGCTGCAAAGGCACTGGAAGTCGGGACTTTGGGCATGAGGCCACAGCCCCTGGCCCACGTGCAGCTGCAGGTTTGTGTGTGCTGGGCATTTATAGTCCCCCTATCACTTTTGAAGATAAGGGCATGTTACTATTTTATTGCCCCCTTTCTTCATCTGAGGCGCCATCCAGAGCAAGAAGAAGAAAGGGGAAGGACTCGTTTCCTTATGATGGGGGGTTAGTCACTGCAGCCTAGCTCTCTGGCGCGGGGCTGTGAGGCTCCCTGCTCCACCATGCCACCCTGCGAGGCGAGGGCTCCAGCCCAGGAGCTCAGAGGCGGAGGCCGTTCCCCACCCAGGCCTCTTCCCAGCCCTCCTCATCTTCCCTCTGGCTGCCTGTCCTACTCGCATCCCGCTCCTGTCCTAAGCTGGGGCTGTGCTCCCCCATGGTTTTCCTGCGGGAAAACCCGGAACAGCCTCAGCTTTTCCCACTGAGCTGGTGAGGGGCAAGAGGTGACCTGAGGGGCTGGCTCTGCACTGCGCTGGCTGGCTCGGCTCCGTCACTTCGCTCATGCTCGCCATCAGTGGAGCTGCCTCCCGGGGCAGCCTGGACTTCCGTCCCCCCTGGCCCTGGGCTGGGCCGCATCCAGCCTGCCCTCGAGGACCCGGCTTATTGATAATGGGGAACGTGGGTATCGCCTGAGGCAGAGATAACTTCCGCCACCGCATTTGTGCACTTGGTGTCCTTCCCTTCCCCGTACTCTGCTCCTGCTGGTAAAGAAGCAGAAAATGCTTTTCGACGTGCCTTGCCCTGTCGCCAAGTTTCACATCCTTGGGTACGTTCAGGTTAAAGGCCAGGAAAGCTGGAGGGGAGAAACCTTCCTCTCCTTGAGCCCACCCACACTTCATGCAGGGGCTCCCCCTTGGCAGGCACAGGGGGGCTGGGGAAAGGGTCGCCCCCTTCCCAGCGTGATGCTCGTCAGCCCCTCTCCTGCTGTGCCATGCTGCACCCACGGAACAGGGGTCTGGCATTGCACAGCTGGGAAAGAAACCTGAGGGGACGTTGGGGCCCCTTGCAGTGCCTCTGCCCTCCACTTGTCTGTTGAAACCACGGGTGTTTCTGTACCCGAGCCCCGCCCCGCCTTCGCGTGGGCCCCCTGCCGCTCTCCTTCAGGGGGAAGCCGTGCAAAAGCTGACTCCTCTAAAACCAGAAATCTTCCCTTCTGCTGCGTGAATGAAAGTGTTAATAAACCCAGCAGCAATCACACTCTGAATTGAGCGTTTCAAATGCCCCTTTGTTTAATTAGCGGAGCCCCTCCTGCAGACACAGGCAGCCCTGTCTGGCCGCGCAGGCCCCCTGCCGCTCTCCTTCAGGGGGAAGCCGTGCAAAAGCTGACTCCTCTAAAACCAGAAATCTTCCCTTCTGCTGCGTGAATGAAAGTGTTAATAAACCCAGCAGCAATCACACTCTGAATTGAGCGTTTCAAATGCCCCTTTGTTTAATTAGCGGAGCCCCTCCTGCAGACACAGGCAGCCCTGTCTGGCCGCGCAGCCTGGGGTGGGAGGTGAGGGGCGAGGACGCGGCACCCAGGAATTCCTCCTCTTCGGAGGCGCGACCTCTTGTACCAACTATTTTCTCGCCTCCTCTCTGCGTCAGCTACCCAGAAACAAAACATTTATGGCTGAAGGACTTAAGTGAACTCACGGCATCTCCTGGGGGGGCTGCAGCCATCAGGCTCAGCCCCTTGCACGCTTTCCATCCTCTGCACCCAGGGCTGTCTTTTCCACAGGGCAACAATAAGTAACTCAGCCGGCCCAGGGCTGAGCTGGCGCTTTGTCCCTTGGCCATGGAAAGGGGGTGACTGGCCTTTGCCTTGAAATCCACCCTGGTTCCCTCCAGTGAGCGTCACCCTGGGGATGGGTCCCCGGGTGGCCCCTTGCTCGGTGAGGAAGGGAGAAAGCATGATTTGCCGTTATCAGGAGTGTGTTAACCCCATGGCAAACATGATTTCACTGGTGCAAGGGTAACAGTGGTGACGTCTGAGCCGGTAACAGGGTTCCCTCCTCTCTGGAACCTAATCTAAATTGCTTTATGAGGAGCCAGCAGGTAGACCAAAGCCTCCTCTTCCCCGGGGGACAGGGAGCCAGGGCAAGGGGGTCCCCACATGGTCCTGTGCTGTGGCACAGCAGCACAGGGGTTATCTTGCCTCTGGCGGTGGGATGTCAGAGGGGGCACGGTGGTTAAAATGTACTTGCTCCTCAGTGGGCTCCAGGGATGGTCTGCTTGCACCTCCTCACCTCCTGCCGTGCCCTGGCACGCACTCCGCGTGCCCCGGTGCCACCAGTGTGAGCTGTCATATGCTGCTGCTACCGTGCAGGCTGCACCCATGCAGCACGTCCCGCTGCTGCCAAAAGGTTCCATGGAGCAGTCTTGGTCCCTGCCTGCCCATCCCTTGCGGCTTACCGATGTCTCACTGGTGGCACCAAGGGATGTGGGGTGTGTGTCAGGGCATGGCAGGAGGCGAGGAGGTTCAGGGACCATGTTGCCTCCTCAGTGCTGGTGCTCACAGCATCTTGGGATGAAGATGAGGTGATGCTGGGGTTCTCCCCACCGCCTGGGGACCTTGATGTGCCACATGCACCTGGGGGCAGCAAATCCCGCTGTGGGCAACCCAGTTTCAGTTATACCTGCACCCTTAGAAGTGAGCAGGGCTGGGGGGGGTGGGGGTGGGCAGGAGCTGCTGTTAGCCCGGGGGGAGCCGCAGTTGCCCCTGCTGGCACCCTCATAGTGGTGGCACATGGCAACCTCCCAGTGCAGTGTTCAGGGACAGACCATGCAGGGGAGTGAACCCCCTTTCCCCCAGGACAGTGCTCCCACCCACCTGGGCTCCTGGGTGGAAAAGCCATAGAGGGTGGGACAGCACAGACCGGGGCTGGGGGCACCCTCTGCACTATGAACCCACCAGGAGGACAAGCATGGCCCCCACCACAACCCACCCTGACAGGGGAGCTGCCAGGGCCCCTCGGTGCCGCAGGAAAGCTCAGCCACAGCCTAGCTAGAAACACAGATTTATTGTGGCATCAGTTTGTAACCAGCACTCAACCCCCCCAGTGGTGACTTCAGACCTGCCCAGGCACCCTGACCCCCCTGTGATGCCTCCACAGCCAGCAGGCTGGTCCCTGGGGTCACAAGCCCACCCACCCCCATCCAGACAGGCTCACTGGGGCTGTGGGCTCAGGTCCTGCTGTGCCAGGAGCTGCCTGCTGGCTGGCAGCACACAGGAGGGAACAGAAGCCGGATTTGGGTTCCTTCATGGATATAAGCCACCAGCTGGGATCTCCGAGCAGTCACAAGGCTCTCGGGATCCCTGTGGAGAGACGGGTCAGACCCCCCCAAGCCTGTGAGCAAGAGGGCCGAGCACGGGAGATGCTGCCATGTCCTCTCCTCTGCTCCCTCGGTGCCAGCCTGGATGCTTTGGGGAGCCAGGAGAGGTGCCAGCTCAGTTCCCACCTGCAACAGCTAAACATATCCTGTCAGGTTGTAGGAGTTGAGCTCACTCTTGGTCTTCTGTGTCTGGCTGATGGAGGGCCGGGGGCTCTTGCCTGCCAGCAGCCGGGGCTGGTAGGTGCTTGTGTAGGTGGTTGTTGGGTCTCGGGCAGGGCAGGAGGTGCAGAGGATGAAGCCGCCGATGAGGGAGAGGAGGGAAGAGATGATGCCCAGGTAAAGTGCCTCCCCGAGCTCAAACTTCATGCTGTCAGGGAGGACAGGGTTGCGGAAATCCTGCAGCACCACATGGATGTTCCACACCAGTGGGATGAAGCAGAGCAGCCCGCCAAGGATGAAGACTGCGCCGCCTGCCACTGCTACACGGTCCTTGCTCGGCGAGCCCTGGCTGAAGACGGTGCACCTCATGCCCACAATGGTGAGGAGGCAGGCAAGGGAGGAGACGGCACAGGAGCTCACCATCAGGGCTTGGGCCGCCTGGACGTCGGTGGGCAGGTTGAGCAGGGAGCTGTAGATGTCGCACTGGGTGATGCCTGTGCTGTATGTGGCGCATTCCATCCACAGCCCCTTGGTGAAGCCCACAGCCGTCACGATGCTGGAGCCGATGTAGGAGCTGGTCTTCCAGCTGGGCAGCAGCGTGGCCGTCAGCGTGCCAATGTAGCCCAGGAAGGCCACGGCATAGCCCAGCAGCTGGAGCCCCATGGAGACCATGGTGGGGGCTGGCTGTCACCTCCTCAGGGCTTGCAGCTTCTCGTCAGGCTCACTGGTGGCTCGCTCCTGAACGCTTACCTTCTCATGTGTCTGCCGGCAGCTCTGCTTGCTGTGCTGCAGCTCCAGCCCACTCCCGGGGGTGCTGGTTTTGTGCGGGCACCAGCACGTGGGTGGGAGCTGGGGGTAGGAGAGGTTACCTGCAAGAGTGAAAAGCAATCCCTCCCCGATTAACGATTGACCCAAGCCTGTGGAGGAGCGCCAAGTGCCCTTTCACCTCCGCTATCTCCCCAGCCAGGCTTCAGAGGCAGAGCAGTGCTGCCCGGGAAGGACGCCAAAGCCCTCCCTTGCGCCGGGGCCACGGGCAGGGATAGAGAGTCAGCTGCTGGCAAGGGGAAAGTGCCCACTGCCTTCTTGGGGGTCCCTTGTCTTCTGTGATGTCCTGAGCCAAGGAAGCCAAAAAGCTACAGATGCACCACATTATTTGGGACCTGCTGGAGGTGATTTCAGGTCGGGGCCCTGAAGCTCCTCCAGCCAAGGAAGGGGGATTGCGCCTCGACCCCATCTGCACGGGGCTTACTCAAGGCATCTGCAGCCACCCATCACCCACCCCAAGCTGCCAAGGCTCTGGCAGGACAACAGGATACCCCCATCTGAGATTGAACCATGGCTATCGGCCCTTCCATGCCACTGGGGACAATGATGGAGAGGGATGCATGTGACTGCGATGCCTGTGTCCCCAGGGAAGCCTGGAGTTCCACAGAGGGCAGAATTGCATCAGGGCAAAGCACGCTGGCAGCACCTTGGGGATGGTTCCCTGGAGCGCCCCAGCCGAGCAGGGTGACCTGTCCCTCAGTGGGGTGAGCACGCTGGGGTGCAGCTTGTGCTCACTGCCATCGGCTGGGGGGTTCTGCCGGTGCCATCTCCTGCCTGCAGCCCTGGGCACAGGCAGGGGAGTTGGCAGAGGCAGTGGTGTGGGGTGGCTTGTTTTCCCTCTCCCTTGTTTCAAAATTTTCCCTCCCCCAGTGTCTTGCGAAACCGGACTGAGCCCACGCCACACCATGCCGATACTGCGGCTGGCAGCCTCTCATCCTGGGAATGCTCCCAGCTGAGCGTGCCGCTGCCACCCAGTGCCTCCGCTCCGCTCCCCATCCCCCCGCCGGCACCTCGAGCGCTTGGTACCAAAGTTTCCCAACATCCTGTCTCCTTTCCTGTGCGCTAACCAAGACCTCCCACTCCGTCTCTGGGGTGCTGCTGTGAAAGAAATGCCTGGCGTGCTCAGGGTGCCAGCAGAAAGGCATGGGAGAGTCATGCTGGAGCTCTGTGGTACTTACGGAGATTCCGCTCCCCATCCCCCCGCCGGCACCTCGAGCGCTTGGTACCAAAGTTTCCCAACATCCTGTCTCCTTTCCTGTGCGCTAACCAAGACCTCCCACTCCGTCTCTGGGGTGCTGCTGTGAAAGAAATGCCTGGCGTGCTCAGGGTGCCAGCAGAAAGGCATGGGAGAGTCATGCTGGGGCTCTGTGGTACTTACGGAGACGGCTGAAGACGCAGTGCGGGACCGAGGGTGGCCATGGCCAGGGATCACCCAAGACTGGAGGTGGCTGGTTGGGCAGGGCGAGCGGCCAGGGCCCCGGCCCAGGGGATCAGGGGCTGCGAATTGTTTAGCTACGGCTTTGCAAAATCCACCTGCAAATCTCAGCCTGGATCAGAGGCTTAATGCAGATCGGAATTAAACCCTTTCGGCATCGGGAAGGATTGGGGACCTGGGATGCTTCATTTTGCTTATTGTCTATTAAATATCAGGGTAGGTTTGCCTAGATGGCTCAGGTATGTGGCTTGCTGTCACCTTTCAGGCCAGCCTTGGTGGCTGGCGGGTGACTGTGTGCCACTGTCCATCCGTCTGCTTTGGGATGCATTTGCCGATGCTGGGGTCAGAGGGGCAGCGAAATGCCAGCAGGTTGAACTGGTGAGCTCAAGCTTTCGGTTTGCTCCTCCTGGCTCTGCTTGTCCTCCACGGGGTTTGTTGTTGTAAGACTCCTGGCCCAAATGAGGAGCAAATGGAGACAGTAATGAGGGCTGTACTGGCCCCGTGCCCCCTCCTGCTCACCGGCTGCTGCAGATGGAGAGGGGCAGGGAGGGCCCCTGGTGACAAATTGTGTTCAGAGCTGAGCAGTGTCCGGCCAACGTTTGGACAGGGGTGTTTGGATGCTGATAGCAGAGCTACAGCAGGGACCATTTGCTATTTTCTTCCCTTGTCCCAAATTGAAAACCTCCCAGGAGCAGGAGGTGACCTGTCTGCCAGCAGCACCTTGCCCTGAGCGCTCAGGCAGGAGCAGCAGGCGGGGATGGGATACACAGCAGTGCTGGGGGGCCAGGGGGCCAACCTTGCTCTCTTGTGTCGAGAAGCTTTTCTGTACCTCCCAGTATGGGCCACATCTCAAAAAGCCAAAGCAGAGGGCAGGGAGTACGGGCAACGCATGCTCTCCTCACTGTACCAGCAGTGTGGGAATGGGGCCTGGCAGCTCCCTGGGGTGAACTGAGTAGGAGCCATGGATGCCTGAGCAGGACCATTGCCCTGCCTGTGCCTGGAGTCCACCCCTGCCATCCATCTTCCCTCCTGTCCTCCCTGGAGCATCCCATCACCTGCCTCCTGGTTGCTCTGTGCTTGCCACCGTTGCAGCCCATCACACTATCCCTATCCGTGCCCATCATGCCATCACCCTGTCCCCAGGGCATGCCCATCATGTCCATTGTGCTGTCCCCATGGCAAGCCCATCATGCTGCCCCAGCACTCCCCATGTCGTGTCCCCCCCCCATGCAAATGGCTACAAAGAGCACTTAATCATCCTTGTTAATTGTCTCTGCCTTCCCCTGTTGCCTCCTGGGGATTTTCTCACAAATGGTGTCTAACTTTTCCCTTCTGTGTTTTGCTTTTCCACCAGAGATTGCAGCCCCTCTGCCCCCTACCTCCCCCCGACCCTCTGTTTACACAACTGGGACAAATTTCACACCCCAGGGACCACTGCCCTGCCCCCCTAGTCCTTCACTCCCCTGCCCTTGCCCCTGCCGTGAAGAATTTGTGAGTCACCGGCTGGGGCAGGGCTCCACAAAAGGCCCCCACCAGGGGCCGCCCCG